CCGCGATCGACTGATCGGACATTACCAGCGTCCGATCACTTGCCACCGGACATGTCCGGTCGCAATTTCGCCGCTCTGGAACCATTCTGTACTCGATCAGATGCTGCTGTTCTATGTCCGATCGATTTGCCGCCAGCGTCCAGTCACTATACCCCAGCGTCCGGTCGCTTATGTGAGCTCATTTCTTCGTGATCTTGCGTACGGCTTGGTTCCTATCTCCGTGCTTGGACTTTGCTTGATATCTTGGGTCTTCTCTTGTGCTTCTAAGGTCTTGCTTATGGTGTTGATCATCGGATCATCATGTCGCCTTCGTCTAAGTCACGTCTTGCACCCTATTGAACTACAAAACAATCACTTGCAAATTCATTTGTCCAATTTGGTTGTGTTGGTCATCAAACACCAAAATCCAAAGTAAATGGGTCTAGGGTCCATTTTCCTTACAGCCGTCTTCTTGGTCGCCTTTCTCTTCGGCCCACTCGAGGCTCCCTCGTCGTTCGCATCCACTCGACAACCGACATTCCTCTTGTATCGACTCGCGCCGTAGTGCGGGCAACTCTCCAAGTTCTCATACTGGCCTCGATATAAGATACAGTGGTTAGGGCAGCATGGAACTTTTAAGCTTCAGTGCCAATGGTCGGATTAGCTTCTTCGCCCGATAGGTATTGGTGGGCACCTTGTTATCCTCTGGGTATCTTGAAGCAAGGATACGTAATAGCTCGTTGAAGCTAGTGTTGGACCAACCATGCCAAGCCTTCAACATCAGCATCTGGAGGTTAAAACACAGCGCCGTCCACTGCTTCGGATAGTCCTTATAGAGGGGATCAATTATCGCCTGCTTCATCTCTCTGAAATTCTCCAGCCACCTTGCGCTCCTAAACAGAACGACGTCGTGGTCGACGCGGTTAGCTATCTCCTCAAAAACCTCCACATCCTTGAGCTCCATCACAACAGCCGGCTCACCATCCCCATCGCCGCACCCACCGTCGTCGTCGGCCATGTCTTGGAACAGATCATCCATCATGATGTAATCACGATCTGCATTGTCGCCAGCAGCAGTGTCTTGCCCACCGGCTGCTGCTGATGATGATGAGCCTTGTCCTCCATCATGTTCTGCAGCCACCGCCGCCGTCGATGAGTTTCCTCCATATGCACCGCCACTCGCATCTGCTTTGAATTCACTATGAAACTTCCACACGGTGTAATCCTTGACGAAACCAAACCAGACCAAGTGAGATTGCACCACGTCATCTTTGTGGGCAAGCTTGTTCTGGCAGCGATTACATGGACATATGATGCGCGTCCGCTTTAGACTCAGACGATGCTTTTTCACAACGAGAACAAACTTTTTCACCTGAACCAGGTAAACCGGTGTAATCCTCGATGTCCGGTACATCCATTCTTCCCTGTCCATGCCCACGAACCTTGCACACACAGCCAAAAAGGCATATAAGCAGAGTAGTATGAAAAAAATGCAGCCGGGCAAGCTCTAGATCTAATTTCCTCTCTCCTCCATGTAGATCTAGATCTAGATCTAGAGAAAAAGCACCCAGATGATGAAAAAGAGAGAAAAATGAGGATTGGAGAGCGTGTAGCAACATCTTGCGGTGCCCTCCTTCAACAATTCCAAGGGCAAAACATCTCCCCCTAAAAAGTGGTTAATTTTTGGGGTTTTGAAGCTTAAAACCCGTCAAAAATGGAGGAGAAGCCATGAGTAAGAAGGTGGGGGCCGGCTAGCTGCAGCATTTATAGCTGTCATTAACCGAGGTAGGCATATTAAGCGCGCATGCCTCCATTAATGATATAATAATCGAGGCAGTCGCTTTATGCCATCCGACTCGGTAAATTGATTAACCAAGGCGGACGGCGGGAGGCGACCACCTCGGTTAATATCGATTAACCGAGGCGGTTGCGTTAAAGCGACCACCTCAGTTAATGCATTAACGGACAACCGCCTCGGTTAATCAATATTAACCGAGGCGGGCGAGTTATGTTACCCGCCTCCATTAAGTATTAACCGAGGCGGTCGCTGGTCCGGCTGCCCGGCCACCGAATAACAGAGGCGGGCTTTGCCCGCCCGCCTCGAGCCCCATTTCCAAACGCTTCCTAGAAGTTTTTGTATAGTAGTGATAGTGTGTTTTAGTAATTAATTGTTACAAAAATGATGGCTCAAACTCTACATTTGAAGTGCTTCTTTGTGAGATCGTCCCATATATCAACTCCATTGCTTTCTAGAGTCTCCATATCCTGTAGAAAAGGCTCTAGAAAAATATCTATATTGATATTAGTTTGTTATGGGCTTTCTATAAGAATGCTTAGCAGCAAGTACTTCACTACTGACACACCATGTTGGATGGTTATGAATCGTAAGCATAATGTGAACCTTTGATTTCTTGGATCCACGTGAATTAACGGGTTCTCGCATAGAAGTTCTTCCATCACTGTTCATCGGATGGGGTAGTAGAACTCTATTGCTATTTTTGCACCGATCAGAAGCCCAAGTGAATGAGTTGAGAGTCCATACGGTTTGACAGCAAATGCACAAGGTGACCAATCAGTGAAAGGTACAACATAACCAAAGCAGAAATTCTTCTTTTTTTTCCTCAACATGATGAGAACTTGTTTTATCACCTCCCTTCTTCTGCTTCTTCCCACAGGAAGGACCATTATATATTCCTCAAAGTAATTGGCATTCCTTTTATACCGACTAACGCCACGTGTTGGGCGACACAAGTCTTTAAACACCTTGCAGTACACCACTTGCGAGCATACAGATACTACAGTGTACTAGGAGGCGCCACACTTCATTCTGACGAGGAAGGCAAGGGGTCCTTTGTCAACTTGCTGGATCGGAGGTGTAGAGCCACTATGGCCACTTGAACAGCCGCTTCTACCCAATTATGCTCGTGTACATGTAAGTATTATCATTGGCCCAAAGATAACATAATTTTGTTAACTAAGTCCACTAGAGAAAAATAATGATTTGAAGATGTCATCTGATGATGCATCATATCAATTTCAGAAGAGCATATTTTATTCTTCACTGTATAACAAGATGAAAAAATGCAGAAAATTAAATTGTGTGGACATGTTTGATAGCTGCTTTTTAGATTGATATATATATATAGAACATTATAAAAGACACCAACTAAGTTCATTCCAATGTTTAGTTTTTCATGCACAAATCATTCACCATATTTATCTATTGGATTGATTACATCTTTGTGTGTACTATCTACCCCAGCAATTTAAAAGCACCAGTAACATCACAGATTTTTTGTTCAAAATCAGTAACATCACTGATTGGCTCCATCTAATCGCCTATCTGATAAAAAGTGTGCTACAAACAGCTGATTCAATTCGCTACCCATCCATTGGTGATCGTGTTCCCCAACAATTTAAAGCACCAGTAACATCACTGATTTTTTTACAACGGTTAATTTAAACCTATGACTCTGCACTGAAAAGGCTAACATGTGGCCAACATAAGGCCACGATAAGGGTGCCGATCTCAAGGTGGCATGCGATGCATAATTTAGAGCTTGATATCTGTACTTGCAAACGATGATTTCTTCTTTGAGCAAGTACAATAACATATTTAAGCTAGCTAAATGCTGAGGTGGAAGATAGAGAAGAAGCGGACTGTAAGCTTACAACCGGCTTAGGCACATGAACTAAGAAACTTTGTGAGAGAGACAGGTGAGCCATACATTTATTAATAGTGAAGAGCTAACTATTATATAGGTGGGTTGAGAGAAAGGTACAAAGTACCTTACCGTTGTAACTATTAGCCTTGTTTTATAGCTTCTTACTAGGATACTGTGCCGTGTACTTGTTAACAACTCTTTTATAGCCTGTTCGCTCGTTGGTTTCAGCCAGTTCAAACCAGCCAGGCAACAGTGTTTTCCTCTCACAAAAAACCAGCACCAACCAGCCTAAACCAGCACCAGCACCAACCAGCGAATAGGAGCATATTACTGGTTAAGTTGTACTCGCAAATGATACTAACTTCGTTTCCTATAGCATCTTAGTGTACTTGTATGCTACTTTTTAATTACTCGTGTATAGCATCTTATAGCTGGGATGCGGCGCCGTGCACACTTCCAGCTCTTGCTACTGGAGTAAACAATAGGACTGTTCGGCCGATGATTTCTATACGGCTGATACTGTTTTACTATGAGAGAAAAATATTATATCATGATTAATAAACCAGGCTAATAAGTTTAAGTGAACAGAGCGAAGTGTTACGACACTGCTCCCTCCATTTTTAATATTTTTAAATACATAGATTTTTCTATGTATCTAAGTTCATAACAAAAACTAGTATTTATCTAAACAAGCTAAAGCGACTTACAAATTAAAAAGCAAAGGGAGTAGAATGCATTGGCAGCCTCCAAGCGCCGTAATTTTACTCTTCACAGTGCAAAAAGATACAGCTAAGGATTCGCATATTCCTGGAAATAATAAATTTAATACTGACACCACCTTGCCTTCCACGCGCTGCATAGTTTACTGATTTCTGCGATACACTCAATCACCAAGTGAAATTCCCATTAAACTAATGGCGTCTGATTTTTTTGTGATAACACTCAACTAACTAGGCCTTATTTAGTTGACCAATTTTTTTAGAAAATGATACTGTAACACTTTCGTTGTTATTTTGTAATTAGTGTCTAATCATAGTCTAATTAGGCTTAAAAGATTCGTCTCGTGAATTTCGTCTAAACTGTGTAATTAGTTTTATTTTTTATTTATATTTAATGCTTCATGCATGCGTCCAAAGATTCGATGTGACGAAGAATCTTGAAAAATTTTGTAAAATTTTGGGAACTAAACATGCACCTACTTAGACCTACACCAAGACCTAACCAAGCACAGGTGTACCTGGATCGCTCAGCCAGCAGCTATTTAAATCCTAGTACGGAACAAACCTTGGAACACCAAAGCAACACACACATAGGGCAAGAAAGACATACACCGCGAGTGACCGAGAGATACCAACAATGGCAGCTCCTTCTCAAGCCATAGTTCCCACCGATGCCGAGCTGCTGCAGGCGCAAGCCGACCTATGGCGCCACAGCCTGTACTACCTCACGTCCAAGGCGCTCAAGTGCGCCGTCGAGCTCCACATCCCAACTGCCATACATGACCTAGGAGGGGCTACCACGCTGCCGGAACTGGTCAACGCGCTGTCCCTCCCCCAGACCAAGCTTCCATTCCTTGGCCGCGTGATGCGGTTGCTTGTCACGTCGGGTATCTTCGCGTCCAACAATGGCGATGGAGCGGAGGCCGTGTACCGCTTCAACTCACTCTCCTGGCTCCTGGTAGAAGGCGTGGAATCCGAGGACCACTACCGGAAACGTCAAATTTGCCGAGTGTTTTTCTGTTTGCCGAGTGTATTATCTCGGGCACTCGACGAACAAGTTCTTTGACGAGTGCTGAACTAAAAACACTCGGCAAAAAAAACACTCGGCAAAGAGGAGGTTTGCCGAGTATAAAAAAAAACACTCATTAAAGAGGGTGTTTGCCGAGTGTTTTCTTTTTTGCACTCGGCAAGGAAATAATTTTTTTCTAGGAAAGAACGAGAAGAAAAATAATAAAAAAAACTTTGCCGAGTGCCCAGATCTAGGACACTCGGCAAAGGAAAAACATCTACGTAATTTCCAGATCCGCCCGCGGCCTCTCTCCTCCTCCCGCGCCCTCTCTCTCCCCCGCGCCCTCTTTCTTCTCTCTCTCCTCCTCCCTCCCCAGAGCGCCCACGCCCTCTCTCTCTCCTCTCCTCCTCCCTCCCCAGAGCGCGCCCGCGCCCTCTCTCTCCTCCCGCGTCCTCTCTCTCCACATCCCTCCCCAGATCTGTCCCGGCGGATCCGGCCCCCTCCCTCTCCCAGCGCGGCGGCGCCCTGCCCTCTCCCTCTCCCAGCTTGGCGGCGCCCTCCCCCTCCCTTTCCCGGCGGTGGCACCCTCCCCCCTTCCTCTCTCGGCATGGCGGTGCTCCCCCTGCCTCTCCCTGCGCGGCGGCGCTCCTCCACCGCCTCCACCAGATCCGGCACCGGCGCGGGCGGATCCGGCGACGGTGGCGCACGGGGAGGCCGGATCCGGCCCCGGCGCGGGCAGACGGATCTGGCGCACGGCCCTCCTCTCCCGGCGCGGCGACGCCCTCCCCCCACCCTCTTCCGACGCGACGGCGCCCTGCCACCTCCCTCTCCCAACGCAGCGGCGCCCTGCCCTCTCCTTCTCCCAACGCGGCAGCGCCCTCCCCCTCCCTTTCCCGACGGTGGCACCCTCCCCCCTTCCTCTCTCGGCATGGCGGCGCTCCCCCTGCCTCTCCCTTTCCCGGCAGCGGAACTACCGGCGGTGCTCCTCCACCGCCTCCACCAGATCCGGCCCCAGCGCGGGCGGATCCGACAATGGTGGCGCAAGGGGGGCCCGGATCCGGCCCCGACGCGGACGGACGGATCTGGCGACGGTGGCGCACGGGGAGACCGGATCCGGCCTCGGCGTGGTGGCAGCCTAGGCGTGGCAGCGGCCTGGGCGTGGTGGCGCGGCGTGGTGGTGGTGCAACGTGGTGGGGCCAAGGCTTGGTTTTTTTTATTTTTTCTGAAAATTTATTTGCCACCGAGTGTCCGACAAAAAACACTCGGCAAAGTTAGTTTGTCGAGAGAATTTTTGCCGTGTGCCCTTACACTCGGCAAGGGTTTGCCGAGTGTTTTAGTTTATTTGTCATGTGCCGTAGGCACACAGCATAGCTCCCGTTCCCCGTAGTGGACCACACCTACCGGAAGTACTTCGTGCTCGGCACCTGCTCACGACACTACTGGTTCAGGAAGAATCTGCCTGAGCCGCTGCCGTCGCCGTTCCAGAAATTACACGGTGTGCCTCTCGTCCATGAGAGCACAAAGCTCCTCGACGAAGAGCTTGACAGGATCGTGGAAGGTGTCGCGGCGCACGACAATCTGGCGATCGGGACGATAATACGGGAGTGCAGTGATGTTTTCAGTGACCTTCACTCGCTGACCTATTGCTGTGGTAGGCAGGAAACGTCACTGCAGCGGCGATCATCAAGGCGTTCCCTGACATCAAATGCACCGTGCTGAACCTTCCAAGGGTTGTTGAGACGACGACGACACCTGCCGCACCAGCTCATGATGCTGTTAGCGATGTCACGGGTGATTTGTTCCACACCATCCCGCCTGCTCAGGCTGTGATGCTCAAGGTATGAATTAAATTGGGAAACAAAAAATATCATAGAATTCTCTCTCACACGCATGCTTCACTACAGTTAAAAAATCTGAAGTAGAGTTTTGTTTGTGCCATACAGACTCATCTTTTGCATACAAATTGATAATAGTTGTAAATACCCCACTGTAGCCCTGCTATTGCTCCGCTAACGATGTTGACAATTATTCCACTATTACCGCTATTGACGCTTTAGCTTCTCTATAAACACCACTATTTTGCTTATCCACGAAATATTTTAGCACTGTTAATGGTAATCAAGGCAATTATTCATTCCTTACTCTAAAGAAGTATAATCTATTTCTATCCATCATGTTCTACTTAAGAACTATTAAATAATTATTAAATCACTGGATATTGAGTGTTGAATGGATATGAATGCTGATAGTAACTGTGAGTATGTTGAGTGATTTCATGAATATTAATTAATTGACATGGATACATGCTCTCCTATAGCCTGTACATGTATTTGAGTATCTATTTTCATGAAATTTTCTTAAGCTAAATGTTTGGATGCATAATTAGTTAAGAATTTTCATGTTTTCTATAAAAATCACTAGATTAAATAGCCTCCGCTATAACTTGCTATAGCTTTTTATAGCTTACTAGCAAATGCACCCGTGCGTTGCAACGGAACCTGATACGTGTAGGAATCGAACATCACTAGATGTGAGATGTTCTAACTCGTATGAGCGCGGGTCAAGGATCCAAGTCACGTATGAGATACATAGGACGTGACCATGTATTGGAGTCGAATTTTATAATCATCATCACTGTACACGAGTTGTTCTAACTCGTATGAGTATGGGTCATGTGTTCGTGTCACATACGGGACATGGAATGCGTGAGTGCAGTTTGTGATGTAGAAAAAGCGGGACAAAAGAAACTCTCCACTATCTAGGTAGTTAGGGGTCGTGTATGAGGCAAATAGATGGAAACAAATTTTGCCGCTTTAATTTTAGTTATAGATAGAGGACACAGCTAAATGTTATAGCCCACTATTTACAACATTGAAATTGACAGATTCAATTATTATGAATTGTTAAACTTGTGTATATGGCATTATGTTCTGTAGCTTGTACTGCACTTTTGGAGTGACGAGGATTGTGTGAGGATCTTGGAGCAATGCAGGAAGGCAATTCCTTCCAGAGAAGAGGGAGGGAAGGTGATCATTATAGAAATACTTCTTGGGCCCTATATGGGGCCCATAATGTACGAAGCCCATGTAAGGAAAATGGACCCTAGGCTCATTTACTTTGGATTTTGGTGTTTGATGACCAACACAACCAAATTGGACTAATGAATTTACAAGTGATTGTTTTGTAGTCCAATAGGGTGTAAGACGTGACTTGGACAAAGGCGACGTGATGATCCGATGATCAACACCTTAAGCAAGACCCTAGAAGCACAAGAGGAGACCCAAGATATCAAGCAAAGTCCAAGCACGAAGATAGGAACCAAGCCGGACACAAGATCGCGAAGAAACGAGCTCACAGAGGTGACCGGACACTATCCTTATAGCGACCGGACGCTCCGATCAGTTGCTCGGCAACAACAGGCATGAACAGCAGCGACCAGACACTGAATAGTAAAGTGATCGGACACACCGATGGTACTATTCATCATCTCGGCAACACGCTCAGCGCTGATCGGACGCCGGCGGCAAATCGACCGGACGCAGGAACTAGAGCATCCGGTCGAGTACAGAGAGGTTCCAGAGCGGCGAAATTGTGACCGGACACATCCGGTGGCATGTGACTGGACGCCATCAGTGTCCGATCAGTTGATCGTGGCTCTAATGGTTGGGACGACCGGATGCGTCCGATCAGGATGACTTGCGCATCTGGTCAGTAGCAGAAAAGCGGAATTTCGTCCCCAACGGCTACTTTCTTATTGGGGTTTATAAATAGACCCTCCAACTGGCCATTTGTTATGTGTGGAGCTGAGGAAACATACCAAGAGTGTTGATACACCATTTTAGTGATCTCCACTTGCATAGTGCTTAGTGATTCATTATGTGATTAGCGTAGGTGCTTTGTAAAGTGCTTAGATTGATTAGACTACCGCTTATGCGCTTGCTCAAGGTTTAGGCCTAGTGTTTCGTGAGGTTTGCGTACCTCGCACTACTTGGTACTTGCGTGCACCATTGTTGTATATCAGAGGGGCTTGTAGTCTTACGAGATCACACCAACCGCGTTTGTGGTGTGGCCGCCACTGTGTACCGAATGGAACAAGGCTCGTGGCGTTTCGGTCGGAAGTTTGATAGTGAAGACGGCAGAGAGCATCTGGGAGAGGCTTGCCGAAAGGCACGTCGGAAACCCACTTGCGCGTGGGGAAGGCCCGAGGCTATCCACGGAGTTATCCGACCTAGAGCTTAGCCCTTGCGAGGGGCTCCAACGAGGACTAGAGGAAAGCTTGCACGCTTGTCGATACCTCGGTAAAAATACCGAAGTCATCGACAGGAGTTTGCATATCTCTACCTTGATCTTTAGCTTCCGCATTTATATTGTTTACATTACTCCTTTTTGCGGTAGAGATAGCAACACACTAGCAAAACCGTAGTTGCACATTTAGGTAGTTTATCTTTTGCATAGGTTTTGTTAAGGATAGAAAAAGAGGTCATAGTTTAGAATCAGAATTTCAAGTTGCCTAATTCACCGCCCCCCCTTTTTTGGCGTCACGGTCTGCTTCAAGTGGTATCAGAGCCGGTTGGCTCAATTTGGACCTTTGGCTTTACTGTCGTTCAGCCAACGCTATTTAGAGTGGTTGAGATGGATACCTCTAGGCCTCCGCACTTTGACGGCACTAACTTCTCCTACTATAAAGCTAGAATGGCTTGTCATCTTGAGGCGGTAGATTTGGGTCTTTGGAGAGTCACTCGTGACAGAATGAAACCCATTAAGAATCCCGATAAACCCACAAAGAGTGAAGAAAAAGAAATGCATTTCAATGCTAGAGCTAAAAATTGCCTGTTTGAATCTTTTAGCATGGATGTGTTTAACCAAGTGTTCACTTTAAATATGGCACATGAAATTTGGTTAAAACTCCAAGAGCTCTATGACGGCACAACTAATGTCCGTGAGCAAAAATATTGTCTAGCTAAACAAAATTATGATTCCTTTAAAATGAATGATGATGAGCTTATTCGTGATATATGTTCTCATTTGAATCTAATTATCAATGAGCTCCATTCAATAGGATTAACAAAGCTAGATGATGTGGACATCGTGAGGAAGATCATCTCCGTGCTACCACAAGAGAAATATGCAAGCATCATCACCATCCTTCACAATATGGAGGACTTGAGCACCATGACCCCGGCCATTGTCATTGGCAAGATAGTGGCATTTGAAATGTCACGCAAGATGGGTCAAGAAGAAGCCTCTTCATCAAGCAAAGGCAAAGCTCTCACATGTAGTGAGAAAAAGAAGATGAAGGGCAAGCGAGTTGAGACAAGCTCAAGCTCCTCAAGTGAAGAAGAAGAAGATGATGATGAGGATGATGAAGATTCAAGTGACGATGATCAATCTTCCTCCTCCACCTTCGACCTTGATGAAGAATCTATCAAGTTTATCAACAAGGTGGAGAAGATGATCTGAATACTCAATGTCAAGGGTGTGCCCATCCAAATTTAAGATTTCATCTTCACCAATCAAAGAAATGAGCAAAGAAAGAGAGGATGCTATAGATGCAGTGAGTTGGGGCACTTTTTGGAAGTTTGTCCAAACAAGCCCACACCCAAGACAAAGAAGAAGACGTGCAAGGACAAAGCCCTCACATCAATATGGACATGGGATGATTCTTCAAGTGAAAAGGAAGACCATCACAAGAGGAGAAGTCATAAGCACTCATCATCAAGCATTTCACGTGTGTGCCTTATGGCACGAGGTAACAAAACGCCTATTCCTGGTGATAGTGACAATGATAATGATAGTGATGACGAGCTACCTTCTTATGATGAAATTGTGTAAGAAAATTATAACTTTGCAAAAGTTTGCACTAGTCAACAAAAGAAGCTTGAAAAATTAAAAGAAAAACTAGATAGCTCGCAACAAGCTTATGCTACTTTGCTTGAACAATATGAAACTTTTGCCAATCTTAATATGGAGCTATCTACTAAAATTGAGCAACTTGAGACTAGTGCAAACACAAATGATTGCACAATCAATGCTGAGCAACTTGTAAAGAAAAATAAAAAATTAAAGAAAAAGTTACCTAACTCATAAGATGCTTATAAAAGTTTGCTTGCTAAAATGGAAACTATGTGCAAACATTGTGATGAGCTAACTAATAAAGTTACTAATCTTGAAGTTGTCGGTACAACCCTCACCAAGGCACCTAAAAAAAAGTTCTATCTTTAACATGCCTAAAAATGATGCCTCTACTTCTTGCAATAATTTATGTTTAGACTCACCCTTGTGCAACCAAGTTTGTATTGAGAAAGTTGTTGTAGATACATGCACACAAGAGATTGCAATGGAGAATGAGCAACTCAAGCAAGAAGTGGCTCGCCTCACCAAGGACTTGACTCAAGTGAAAGGTAAGACAAAGCAAGCCCAACTTCATCAATATAACACCATCAAGGGAGTGAAGAAGCTTGATGAAGGATAAACCATGGTTTGCTACGTATGCCATAAGGAAGGACACAAGTCCTATGAGTGCAAGGTGAAGAATGGGGGAGGAGCAAAGAAGAAAGAGAAAAAGCAAACAAGCAAGCTCTCCAACACCTACACCAACAAGGTGGACAAGAAGGCATCCACACCTTATCTCTTGAAGAAGAAAAATGACAAGGTGGTGGCTATTAAGGTGAACAAGCAAGTCAACAATGAGGTCAAACGCTTTTGGGTGCCAAAGGAAATCATTTTAAATATGAAGAGCATCAAGAATGTTGGGATCCCGAAAGGGAAGTGAGAAGTCCAATGGACTTCGGGGAATTTAGAGACTTGGCAAAGTATGGGTGCATTTCATGGGGTGCATCATTAT